CGAGTTAAGAAGAAATCTGGAACTAGTATCATAGCTAGATTTGGTGATAGCTCTGATGGCACGATTTTGAAGTTTTTGAAGTTTCTCACTAAGCTGTTGGGTAAAGCCATCCCATACAGCGCTGCAACAATCGAAGTGTGGCTCGACAAGACCTTTCTATATATTAACTGCAGTGTGCATTCAAACAAATGGCCTGACCCGCTTAAGAGAACCGATACCAGAGGATACTTTTTTAGAGATTTCATGAATGTGGGCCTTCCACAAAAGGTTTTCATCAATGATAAGCCCGAGAGATTTGCTTTGATTGCTTTGGTTTATTGGGACACCATCTATATGAATGTTCATTGTGTAGTAATTTAGCGACTGTAGTTTCTGAATGTTATAGTGAATGACCGTTATGTGAATGTTCATTGCGCAGTCATTTAAGGACTGTAGTTTCTGCCTGGAGCTAATAACCATAAACTCTGTATTGGCGATAATAAGATTTAACTTACTAGCCTTTAGCCAGCCATCAATATATTTCAGGTCACTAATGATTTTTGACTCAAGATCAGGTATAGTAGCTGCAGAAAAGGTTACATTAGTGTCGTCGCAAACAGGGGTCTTTCTTGCATGAGCATGTGCGACCGCTGACTTGTCAAAGAGCACGCGACCAGTGACAACGACCGTGCTGCGTAGTCATAGGAACCAAATTGTTCACTTTGTAAGCTTGCTTGAAATTGAAATGGTAGCAGGAACTTAGGAAAGACCTTCGTTGTACAAAATAAGTAAAGATCTGTTGATTTAAAGTGGAGACTGATGCGCTGAACGAGGTGAAAGAGCAAGTTTCTCAAGGAAGTCTGACACGAACATGGCTACTTGTTGTTGTTTGGCGCTCGACTCGTGTCTTGATTTCCCTTTAAGAACCGCAAAGTTTGGCATAGAATGCATTGCTGATGCGTAGCTATTGAGCAAAATGTTCTTTATTTAGTGTTTGTCTATAAATCGGATGTGAATCAGTTTCTCGATGCCGTAGAGCATTTCTGTCAATAATTTGTTAATAGCTGATGTAGCAATATTTCGGGAGTGGATTAATAACGATCAGCGGGCGATTACCACGCCGTTTTCAGTTGGAATAGAAAGTTTTTGCCTTAAGTATTTTAGCGATACAAAGTTTGAAATAGGAAAATTGTAGAACTTCTTGTTTTTGCGTGGAATAACATTGTAATGCATCTTTTACAGGAATTTGCTTTTAGCCAGAACTTAAATGCTCTAATGATTTTTAACTTTTGGTCGGCATCACATGTTTACTGTACTTCTTGGGAAACCTAACCGTTTGTTTCATCAAAATCGGTCACAAGATTGGACTTTAATTTCGGTCCTATTGAATGCAGTTTTGACTGTGTCTCATTGATATTCATTTTTTTTTATTGTTCGAGACATACAGAGTGACTACCACCAACATCTCACCAGGTGACTAATCTACGTCTCGTGTGCTCTTAATTTTGTAGCTTTAAAGTGCTGGGAAAATTGTAGAACATATATTAATTCACTGCTGAACTGAACATCGGCTTTCGCGCACTTCGAACCCACCCGCTGAAATTTGCTATGTTTTTTTGTATGATGGACATAAGGTGGCAGATGTCAGGGTTGATCGGACATGCTACGCATACACAGAGTCTCCCTGAGCCCACTGCCAGATTTAGTTCGGCCAAAACCAGAAAGGAGAAAGTGTCAGATTGGAAAAAGAGATTGATAAATGGATCCTTGTTGTGACGAGGCAAGCCACCACATCTAAAGCAGTCATCCAGTTGGTATTAAAACTGTGAGTGGCTCTTAAGAAAAGCAATGCGTGGAAAGTCAATGCAAACGCCAAAAAAATCCGGCTTTAACTGTACCTACCTTATCTGTTCTTGTTATGATGGTTGATGTGGTTGCATGCGAAAATGTCTATGAAGATAATGATGCGCTACAAAGTGAGTACAGTCGAACCTCTACTAACAGGCACCTTTTTTTGTCCTGGCGGCGGACAGCAGTCCATGCATTGACTCTTGTTTAAAGTCAAGAATAATCATGAAATTTGATCCGTATGGCGCGTTGATAATTTATCGTGGCAATAGTACTTTGATTGTGTTCCAGCTATACTGCTGCAGATTGCGCAAATAAACGAATGCTGCAATCCTTGCTCGTTTTGTCACGTGACCATTTTGATTCAAAACATTGGAGAGGTTATTCAAGCATAACGTTTACGTCATATGGCAAACTCGAATTTGTACCACGTGAGCAAATTTCCCCTTTACTTGTCGTTTACGGTTCATTATTTCTACACATAATTTAGTAGTTTCACGCAATTTTGAGAAATTCTTAACTTGAATCTGACGTTTGCCGTCTACGTGAAACTTAAACTCTCTGTTATTCAATTTTTTTGGGCATTTCATCTCCATATATATTTTAACAATTAATGAATGAGGCTGAGTATCTTATGAGAGTCTTCTCGCTGTTCTTGCCATGTTTTTAGCTATTGTTTTGCCTACTTCTTACTCTTTAAACGAGTGAAATGTCAGCCATTGTTGTTTTCACGACCAAAACAACTCAACCTCGTCCCCAGGTCGTCTCGGTTAACGGTATATTAACCTGCAAGAAGGAGCACTTTTGACGTCATCGGTTGATTAAACGCAAAATTCTTCCAAATTTGGTCATCAGTAGCTGGTTATGGTGAATTATGCGTGTGCTTTTAGCCAATCAGAATCGCGGAAATATTTTGAATGAATAATAAATATATATTATCGGATACATTAGGCATGAACTTAGCACATTACATGTTGTACTCCCTAAAAACAGTGGTCATATTTCATCCCTGCTCCCCGGCTACCCCGGCCACCTCGGCCACCCCGGGTCCTGTCCCCAAGATGGCCGTTGTGGAGAGGTTCGAGTGTATGACAACTCTCACAGCGATTGATCCGTTGAGAGAAAATTTTCGTAAATATGCTAAGTTCTTTTTGTTTCTGCCAGAGTTCTTGGTTTCTGTAAATGAAAATACGTGAGATGATACGTTATTAGCCTGGGTCACATACATAATATTAAAATCCCGGTTAGTAACGCGGGGCTGCGAAGCACAGACTCAACGAATTACCGGACGAGCGTTTCGAAGTTCCTTTCATCTTGACTGGCAAATCGACAATGGCCTTTTAACAGGCCAATCATAGCACGTACTCAAATCTTGGTACAGAGGTGGGGGCCCAGAACAAGGATATCGGCGCTGTTTCTTGGACGGACTTAACCAACTTTCGACTTCCGGTCACGTGACCCCGCTTATCATCTCTGTCAATTAAGAAAACTATGTTGGGCATCTCAGGCTATTGAAACTGGTGATAGTTTATTTCAAGATATCTCCAAACGACCAACTTTCAGTCGTTTGAGGGTTTAGCCTCGTTTTCATGGAAGGGAACATTGCGCACTTTTTAAACGCCCAGCAAAAACCTTCAGCATTCAATACAGAAGTGCCCCCAGTCCCCCTTAACACATCTGCGCCGGTCGCTTGAAATCATCACGAAATTTCCAGGGAATCATCTGGCCTTTGCTCCTAGACCATATGGGAATATGAAGCACGTTCTCCCTATTGAACGTGATTCTCCTAATCAATGTTATAATTCAACTTGGAAGCGATCAAGCCGTCGTTTTCAAGTTTATCTCGATTATCAATTCATTCCATTCAGATTTTATCAGCTTTATTATGTAGTGCTGCTTTCAATGAATAAACAGAGCTTTTATATAACAAATATACAATTGTCTAAACTGACCATAATTTGCTTCATCATTCGTTAAAGATCACTGGAAACTAAGCAGCAAACAAGGAGCAAGACAGCTTTTTAGTTAAATTTCTTAAATGTTCGTAGGGGGGTGTGGAGTATGGTTTGGATTCGTCCATGGATGTTCATGTCTTGTTTAGCAAAATCCTGATGAAATCATCTCAAATTCTATTTACTTACGAAATTATTGAAGAAGTTGTAAATGTACTCGTCGCAAAGCTTCTTAAAGAAGCTGTGTCACGAAATTCAGCCAAATTAGGTAATTACAAAATGCCCGTTAAATTAAGAGAAACGCAAAAATAACCGCTTAAAACATTAAAGGAAGGTTAAAATATCACAACAGATACAACAGATGCCATGGATGGGCAAAACTGAAGAAGATTGAAACGGATTGAAATTAGGGTTTTTGAAAACTGTTCAGCCTAACAGTTTTTCAAAGTTGATCTCCGCTGTTAATGCTTAGGAGACATATTTGTTTCTCTCGAATCTCTACTTGTGTCTCTTTGCTTACCGCACTTTAAGTTCCATAGCGATTGAGGGCGAGTAACTGGCAAAATTAAACAAAATGAACTGGACTGCCGTGACACAGCCCCTTTAAGGGGACCTTACTGCAGATGTTTTTGTGAGCAATAAGTTTATGACTTGGTAAAAGCTGTCGTTTGGTTAATTTGTCTTTATGTGGGAAGATGAATTTTTCCTCCACGGATTGTTCACTCATAACGAAAGTGAATATGTTTCGCTATCACTGTATAATTATCTCGTTTTCAAAAGAATAAACAAACGTTAAAAGAGAAAGGCATTCTACAATTGAATGCTCTCCAACACGGATCAATTTGCGAATATTCATTCAAGCTAAATGTCAGAGTTTCTTACCTCTCGGGTTTTGGTAATTGAAGAACATTTCCGCTCACTTTTGCAATTGGTTTCAGTGTAAAGAAGTTCTATTACAAAAACTCTAGAAAGTTCTTCTTTTTTGTGTTCAATTATAGGAGGCTTTGATGAAAGTAATTGACGAAAATCCCAGTTTAATAAACACAACTGTACACGTCATATTATATATGCACGCGCTCAGTGAACAGAGGTATTTACCATTGAGTCTCAATAGGATTTAGTCAGGGGAAGCACGCGCGCTATAATATTTTTAAAAGTTTGTAGCCTTCGCCATCCTATGAGGAAAAAAATGGGACAAGATTTTGTACTGACATGAGTGATTTATAGTGAAGCTTCAATTGTGGAAACTTGCCTTGGACGCTGAGGTTTTAGCTGCTTGAAGTCACATGTAAAGCAATCAACAAAGAGTTCCATGCACTCTTTTCGGAACTGTTCATTTGACAGTCCATAAATTATGGGGTTTATACAAGCGTGAAGTGGGTCAAGAATTTCTGCGAATTTAAAGATCACTGTTGCGATCTGTAATTCCTGTTTACCTCCAAAATCAAGCAAAAGCCAAGCGATTTGTCCAGGAAGCAAACAAATCGCAAACAGGATCACAATTATAGCGAGTGTTTTGATAACTTGGATGTTTTCTCTTCTTCTCTTATGTGCGGGTAAGGAGCTTTGAGGAACAGTTGATCGCCAGAGATAGATACCAATCCTAACGTACGCCACACCAATGATTAACAAAGGTATCACGAACTGTAACATGAAGAGAGAAATGGTGTACGCTTTTCGGTGATTTATGGACGGCCAATTCTCGTAGCAGATCCCGTTGTTAGTTTTAGAGACGACCGATAAAGGAAGGACTATTATTGAGGATGAAAACCAGATAATGGTGATCCAAATGTAAGCACTTCGCATCCTCATCTTGGGTCTAAAGGGTTTAGTGATCAACCAACAGCGATATATTGCCATGGAAGCGATGGTGAAGATGCTCAAGAAATAAAAGCCTGTCGACAGAGGTATTAAAAGTCGGCAGTAGTACAAGTTTTGCCGAATCGCTTTGAAGTGACTGTAGATATTAATTGGCAGAGTAGCTGCAATGAAGGTTATATCGGAGACAGCAAGATTCAGAACGAAAAGTCTGGGAATTGATCTTTTGTGTTTGTTGCTTGACATCACTGCAATTACCAAACTGTTACCTCCAACCCCTAAGACAAGATAAGCAATGTTAAAGCCAAGTTTCACATTTCTATCTGCCGTACTTGGTAAGTCATGATCGGAGTCTGTGTTGTTTAACATCGTTGTAAACACCTCTTGTTAAAAAGTCAAGGCATAAAAGGGCATTCCTTTACCAACTTGTCACGTTCTTAGTTTTTTTCAATTTAGCCTTGTTGTTTTAAGTCGTGCATTCATTAGCTGTGAGTGAAGACCGAATATGTACTGTTAGGCACACAGCTGAGAATATCGTCAGCTGCTTTGTCGCATGAAACATTTAACTTATTCTTTGGGAACAGAGCGAACAAGATAATCAATCGAGCGCAACATTACAAATACCTAGAGAGCTGTGATAATTGATGCGAATCTTATTCTTAAAGAACACGTGGATGAGCTGCTGGTCATGATTTCTAAACAAATCGGCGTCCTAGCTCAGTGGAATAAGAAATATCTACCTGTTGACGCAGTCAATAACGTGTAGAAATCTCTTGTTTTTAAGACCGTTGTGAAGACCACACTGACAGAATAATGCGCTGGAAAAGCAAATTAGACGCGACATGCATACTGTGAACTCCCTGTGAACTCGAAATTCCAAGACATCAATCGGTCCCCAACATCGTGCTTTGAAAATGACTTTCAGTTAAGGCTTTAAAACGATCCAAAATATACATATATATATTAAATTTCAAAAATTAGGAAGCTATGCACAAAAAAGAGATTTAAGCTGAACAGAAACAAAGAAATACTAAAAATGAAAACTGAATGCTTATTATCTTTTTTGACATTCACATTAGACTTGAGATGTGACTAAGACCTCTTTTTAAGGCATAACGGCAACATGGCCAGCTCATCTTCTTTTCTACCAATACCAGTTTGATAGCAAGAACAATAAAACGGTGAGAAAAATGTAGAAGTTGACACTTGAGTGTTATACGGTTATTGTGAAGATCGTTACAGATCTAGAAAAAGTCGCTATTTGGAACGCTTATCCAGGCCAAATGTCAGCTTATCCAGGCCAGATGTGGACAAACGGTGCATCAATGATATTTCGCATCAAAAATTAAACTTCTGAACACCACCTCGTCATCTACTGACGTGTGTCATAGGGCTTAGCACCCGCTTCTAGAAAGTCCCGGTAACTTTACGGGCCCGAAATTAAATATTCAAATCAAAATCTTACAAAAAGATAGCGCGGGACCTAACTAACAAACTAGTCCACTTATTATATTCTCTGCAAAAGAAACCTCCATCTTGAATGTAAACAATAGGCTTTCCGGGACAGTTAGCTACCAGAAATATTGAGAAACGGGCTCACTGATTCAGTAGGCCTACGACAAGCGAGAGTAACATCCAACCCGACCTACGGGTTTTACCCGGAGAGATTTGCAAGAATTTGTACATCAAAGCTGTATCCTGATTATACTCATAAATTCCGTCTATTTTCGTCCCGACTTGAGCGGCAAGGCTTCAATCCCTGTTCGGCTTCTTTAGAAGTTTATTATATTCTTCAACGGTATGGTGCAATCACCCGTAAGTATGATGCTGCACTACGGGAGTTACGTTCATTCACGCTATTTACTATCTTTTTTTTCACATCCGAATAATTGAGTTCCAAAACTATTGTTAGAGTTTTGTTATTTAAGACTACATCTAGTTATTGAAATTGTTCTCTGTCGTCTGTTGTAACAGATGGCACGGATGGACATGGATTGAAACTTGAAAAAGTTGGGTCAACTTTTTCAAGTTTTAATTCTACACCTGCAAAAACCACCAAAAGTAAGGGTAGTGCTCCCGGATGCAATTTGTTTAATAGCTTCTTCATATCTCTAACGGAGAATTCATCTATAGTAAGTGATGACAACAGCACAGAAAACAGCAGTTTAAGGTAAAAATTCTATTGCACATTCGCGCCCAAGTTTTATTAGCGTTGTTTTCCTTTATAGTGCTGAGTAAGTCCTGCTGACGATAATTGTGTTCACATTGTGGGTGGCTTCTCTTTAAATGTTCTGCAGTTGGTATAGGATGCAAAAACTGCGGGAGATGAGACTAGCCTTCTATGGCTGAGTGCTGCCACCATATCCTTTGTTTCATTTACTTACTGACTCGCGCATTTAGTTCGTCACATTTCAAGTTTGGATTGTTTTCCTAACTCATATGACTGAGCTCACATTGCAGGGGGCTCCTCCTAGAATTTTCTACAATAAGTAAAGGATTTAAAACCAGTTGTAGAAATGCGTGGTTTTGAGGCATCCTACTGCTGAATGCCTACAACTGTTAGATATTCGCGGGAGCAACAATGTTCCCTGACTTTGAATTTTAGGTTTCGATTATCTTCTCAGGATTTTTTTTGGTATGCCTTTTATAGCTCACCTACGGTTTTCTGAATATAAAACAAAACTTAATAATCGCATTTAAAGAGACGTCCTGTTTCCTAGCCTGATTTTTTCAATTGAGAAAATTAATTTGGGTTCGCGCGAATTTTGCGTCGAGTTTTGCATTTTCCCAACTGTGTGTCAGAAGATAATGCGTAGATGTATTGTCAATGAAAAACGTCAGTAAAGCGCTTTAGTGACATTGTTACAACGCGCAAAAAAAAGAGTTTATCATCTTTCGTCATACCGGGCATGGCGTACAGAGCCAAAGCCGATGTTAAGGTGGCTTTTGACGCTCTTCTAATTTTGTCATTGCAGAGTCAACGCGTCTTTAACCGTCAATTCTAGCCGCTGCTTGCCATCGGGTTCACGTAATTAGACCGTCATTGGTCTAAAAGTCGTTCAGCGACACTGGTCCTCCAACTATTGGCCTATGTATAGACAAACGGTCTCACCGAGTAGCGGTTGATAGTTACCTTGTAACAAGGGGAAAGACCAAGGTAAGGGATGAGTTGGCAGCCAAGTTGCACAAGCGTACACTACCTATAAGTTACCTTTACTCGATCGACAGTTTACCGAAAAAATTGGCGACACAATACCAATTCTTCCGCTACTGACTGAAAAAAAGGCCCAACATATCACAATCGGGATACAATTAAATTTAATTGTGGCCACGTGACCGAGAATCGCCGCCCGCCTCGACTATCACCTGCTATTTGCGGGCGGAAATGGACTTCATGTAAATGTTAATTGTTGTTAATAAAGTGTAATCAACCACTGGCAGTTTCTAATTAGTTGAGTAAAAGACAGTGAGGTCAGAAAGAGAATTCTCATTGTTATGCTGCCCCTCTATAGAACCCGCGTGGAATACTAAGATATGGGTGAAAATAATTTCCGCGTATGAAGTGCAGCATAACCAGGTTTTCGTCGCTGAGGGGAGCAGGGGTGAGGAGGGGGGGAATGGGGTGGCAAAAAACGCAAGAATATGCTTTCTCGGGGCATTAACGCATAGAAGCGCGATCTGATGATGGCAAAGCACTAAAAATACTACGCCAGGAGCCGATTACGCTTAATACCTAGGTGTGATGCAAGGCTCCCAGGAGGGAAAACGTGCTAATTTATGGGGGCCCCGCGCTCATTTCGGTGCAAAAATACCGATGAAAATAGCAGGAGAATTTTCATTGAGATGCTGCACCTCTATGGCACACGCGGGGAATACTAAGATAAGGGCGAAAATTATTTCTAGCCGAGCGCCGAATGCAGCCACTAAGCCAACAACCTCAGAAAAATCTTCATATTCCCCCAGTCTCAGAAGCTCACCGTACGGGAACAGATCTTGGAGACGCCAGTGCTTGTGAAAAGGCCAAACACGCCGCGCGAGAAAACAACCTGGCGGCAGGTACGACGAGTGTAAAGGAGCGCTTATCTTCCCAACAAACTTCTGAAGAGACTAAGAAATACCGTCTTGTGGTTAAGCATATCTTCTCTAAGAAAAGCACTTCAAAAATGTGGTGTAAGTAAAGTCTGTGATATACCCCAGAAAAATCGACGTTTGCGTGGGAACAAGGGTCGACTTGCCAAAGCCAATGAAATAGCCCGGACCGATGAGGGAAACAGGAGCGGATCGGCCCAACTGGAGGGCTCCCCTTTCAGTTACACCAGGAAGGATCAGATTTGACGGAATCTCGTGCGTTTTTAACCGAAGCTTAAACAGTTCCTAAAAACGAAAAGATTGGAAATACATTACCACGAAGGTAACGCACATATACCCTATATGACAGCTTTAAACAGAAACTGGAAAAAAGAAATAAATTCGGGGGAAAAGGGGAGACACCAACCAGGCCGATCCAGGAACTCCGTCACAGACAGAGTATCGGGTATAGCTTAGAAGACCCCTCCAGATGGACCGGACTGATAGCAGGAGCAGAAGACCGAAAGTAAAATAACAACACATTTCCCGAAGCGAAAAAAAAAAGAACACTCGAGAAAAACAAATTAAAACAAAGTGATGGGCCGATCTGCGTGACACCAGAGAGTATAGTAAAGATTAACCTGCATAAATAACTACAAGCCCATAAAACTAAAACAATTAGCAAACGCCGAATAAATCTGGAACATAGTAAATATCCCAGGCAGCTAAGCCATGAAACCGCGGATGACTAATTTCCCAATAACAGGATGAAAGCAGCATCTTCGGTGCAAGAGTCCCCAAGTATATACATCGCGTACTGAGAGATGCCATGAATTCTAAATTCGAACCAGAAAAAAATGATGATAAACGCACGTGGCGTGAGTACCGGCAATGGAAGCTTTAAAACCGCTTAAAAATGTCAAGAGAATAAAAAACGAGAATACAATAGTGGCCGAGGTCATAAATTAGAAAGGAAACTTACGTGTTTAACTTCTAGAACATAGACGAACAAACAAAGAAATAGAGAAGAAAATTTCCTAGACTGGAACTAGTTGCGGGAAAGAAAACGTTAGCAACAACGAACGTAAATAAAAACGCAACAAACTACAGGCAAGAGAGAATGAGCTAGATCATTCTCTCTTGCTACGGGATATGCGAAGGGGCATGCATACAGAAGAAAAACACGGACCGCAAAGTATAGAAAATGTGAAATACAAGACCAAAATGACGCGCCGCACACGAGGACAAGAGAGCAACACACCATGAAAAAACGGTCCGAAAAAGGGGGAACGACATACTGA